GGTAAACCAATTCTGTGAAAGGGAATGGGCCAACTATTAAATCACCTTATTGTAGTAGGCTTAAAAATGGGTACCTAAATTGTTTGATTTTTTTAGTCTTAGTTATTTCAGTTATCGTAGCTGTCCTAAAACAGAAACTGTCTGACATAAGGTCCAACAAGTAGAGGGAAAACCTGCCTCTCATTTAAAACAGTGTATGTTTATACCTCGGCAATGGACTGGCGACCTGTCCAGGGTGTAGGCACCAACATCCCTTGCAACCACAACTGGCATTAAGCATGACAGAAAATGGATGGATAGATGTTTATACCTCTGAATTCAAGAGAAATAACATGAGAGGCCAAAATAAATTAAGAGTGATTCAAAACAGGCACATTTTGTAAGTTGTCAAGGGTTTTTGCTTGTATTTATTTACCAATTTAGTTAGCCTTTTAGTTTTGTTTTTACGGTTTAATTTAGCATTAAACATCGTAGTAATTAATAATTTCCTTCAAGAAAAAATATGTCTTTCCATAAAATCTAGACAAAGCACAGAAATGGACCAAAACAAGATTAGAACCATTGTCATGAAATCTGAATTATAACCAAAAGAAGATAATCCCTGATATAAACAGCTAAAATGAGCTTTCTCCACAGGTTGGCTAGGCACTCCCCCAGAGATAAGGTAAGGAGCTCACCAGGGAGAGGCTTGGAGTAGAGCTGTTTCTCCTCCAAATCGAGAACTGAGGTGGCTCAAGCTTCTTTTTTGAATGTCGGCTGACCGCTCCCTTGGGAGGTGTTCCAGGCATGTCCTACCAAGAGTAGACCCCAGAGACGACCCAGCAGGGACTATGTCTCTCGGCTGGCCTGGGAATGACTTGGGCTTGCCCCAGCAGCATTGGAGGAGGTGTTTAAAGAAAGGAAAGTCTGAGAGTCTCTGCTGAGACTACTGCCCCTGCAACCCAGTCCTGGATAAAGTAAAAGAGGGATCTCAAGATTGACGAAATATGGCACCATTTTGTGCTTCTTATGTGGCTTTTATTCTAGCTGTAAGTCAATGAGCATATAAGATAATTGAGCAGATTTAATTACTATTATAATTTTTACCTCTAACTCCATAACTTAAAACTTAATATTTCTTTTATGACCCTTTCAAACTGGCAGGAACACATGCTACGTTTCAATTTAATAGGGCAGATCCTAACTGGTTTGTCTTATCATGGTAAATGGTAAATGGCCTGTAATTATATAGTGCTTTTTCAAGTCAGGAGAATTGACCAAAGCACTTTACACTAAATTCAGTCATTCACCCATTCACACACACACTCATACACTGATGGTGGAAAGCTACATTGTAGCCACAGCTGCCCTGGGGCTCACTGACAAAAGCGAGGCTGCCGTATACTGGCGCCATCAGGCACTCTGACCACCATCAGTGTAAGAAGTTCTTTCAGTTCACCTGCAACATGCTCGCTTATTTTTTTACAACTCTTTTTTTTTTTTTTTTTTTTGCAACTTAGTGCTCCTTATTTGGGATCCTTGAAAATCAGGCCTGACATGTTTAATATCTCATCAGTCGTGCAGTTTTTATTTCATTCTGATCCTGTGAATTAACTGTTAAATACAATACAGACTATTGCATTTCTATGTGTAACATTTAGATTTATAACAAGGTTATTACAATTAAAGATTTTTTTGTTTCTTTTTTAAAGATTAGCACTACGGGTAAGATAAGTCAGATTTATTTTTCTTCTAAGAAACTAGGATTGCATCATGTGGACCTTAGTAAAACCTACATTTCCTAGTTTATGAGTAGTTACATAGAAGCCTAATATACATTTTGAGTCTTAATTTTTCAGCTTACTGGCTAAGATGCTTTGAGACTTAAAGACTAGAAGAATATATTTGCATAAACAGGTGTTTATGCAAAAAATCCAAGAACATTGTGTACAGTGACAAATATCAGTCAGTTGCAAAGCTTTTCTATGATATCTTTGGGGATTGATGGCCTAATGGTTAGGGCATTGCTGTTGCCCCCCAGGGGTTCTGAGTTCAAGCCCTACTCTCACAGACTGCCACTCTGGGACCTTGAGCAACACCCCTAACCCGACACTGCAACCATGGTGTTGCACATTGGCATCCCACTGAAGAGGATGGGTCAAATTCAGAGGTGAATTTCCCCAGTATGAGATTAATAAAGTTCAATTTAAAAAAAATACAGACGTTCCCAAAGGTTTCAGCATTTGACCCAGACAATGGTACCAGGGTTAACACATGACTCAAATATTTGGTTGGGTCAACATTTTTACAAAATAAATTAGTCATAAGTGTAGTAATATCAATAATGGCTTTAACAACAAACATAGTTGGTTTTGTCCATTTCCAAGGGATGCTTTTATGTGTTCAAGCACTTACACATGAATGCTTATAGTTTAAATTCATTTCTGTGGATCTCAATACCCCATAGATGTTATTAAAGGGACCCCAATTGAAATAACGACCCCATTTTTGGTAATCAGTGTTCTAAAGTATAGTGTGGAATCATTTTTATTGCAGTAAATTGCATCAAATCGCATGGTTCTGTTAAGATCTTTGATTTGCCTCTTTGTTGACAGATTAACCAACTCGGATTGAATAAGTATTTGCTGATTAGTCTTTGGATCAATCTATACAATAATCTGATTTCTTTACAGAGTTTCTTTAAAAAAGAATAAAATAAACCTCTAATTCTGTGTTCCATTATCGTTATGACTGAATTATATATTATTGTGCCACCTGTGATTGTACTGTTTCTTTTACACCAAACTGTGGTATTTACAGTGCCTGTATGGAGCAGGAAAGGTCTTTGTACGGAATGAGGACAGATAACATCTGCTCCAGGCCTCTCCCTGCCTTGGCCCACAGGTCTGACTAGCAAAGCGAATTGTGTCTGAAAGGGGATGATACCCATCGGAATGTTAATGGTGCTGAATATTTCAGAGGTGGGATCATCACATGGCAGCGGGAGGACGGCTGGGTTTCCCAAAAGCATTTAGTGGTTGAAGTTCCTCAGTGTTATTGTAAACCATGAGTCGGGGTTGATTTCTTTGCTACAGCTAACAAGGTCCAGTTGCTGTCGGAGGGATTTGAGACAGCTGTATGTCTTCGTTCGTCCTTCACACTTAATCAAGAAGCGGCCGGCTAAAATTGACTATTTTTTGACTGATAATTTCCTTTTAATTTTGATTTGTTTGTGCTACATTTAAGTAATTGCAAGGCATATAAAGAGCATAAAAAAGGACGATAGCTGTGTTTGCATTACTTTCAATTGTAAAACAGCATGAATATTTCTGCTTTTTGCAAAAGATTATGGTTCAAAATTCTATTCAAAGCATTATATTAATAATTTTTTCTCATGAGGAAGAGCAAAGGCAATATACATATAATAACGTCAGGTCTTTACTATTCTTCCCAAACATAGTCATTTGAAATGTAAAACAAACACAAGAGGAAGAAAAAAAAAACAGCCCTTTGCTGCGAAAGTCAATAATAACATGTGGTAACCACTGTTGTGCTTATATTGTTGTTAAAATGGATGTTTATGCCAGTCTTTGAAAAGGGTGGTGGGGGTGGTGTTTTTGGTGGACCGAGGGACAATCTAAGAGGAGTCAGGTTTTTTTGATCAGGATAAAATTGAAGTTTGTTGAGGCGAGGGGAAAAGCAGACAGAAGGAAGAGACCAGGTCAAAAATTAAAGAGAATTACAGCAGTGCTCCCAGATGTGTGCAGAGAGGATGACCCCAGAAAGTCAAAGTTGTGCCTATCAATCATTGCCATATGCTTGCAGACAAATGGATCCTGCAGGACACTTCATTTTCCCTTTTCTGATTAGTTCATTTGAAAGATGAAGAAGGGGGAAAAAATAGACAGTGAAGCTCTCTGAAAACCGACGGCCCTGGCGTAACCCAAGAACAGAGCGACTCAGGGTTGAAATTAAGAACTACTATTTAAGATTTAAGGGTCTTTTTTTCCTTTGGCTTTTCCTCATTCACCACCATCATCCCACTCCTCCTTCCCCTTTCCTGCCCCATCCTTTTTTTTTTTTTTTTTTGCACAGGTAAGTGTCAGGGAGCAAATGAGTGAACGCAGTGCGCCCTTAACTCTGATCAAAGCACCAAAAGAAAAAAGCTTTTCTAATGACTGGCATTCACTCTGCTTTCTTAACCCATCTCTCATTCTTCCCCTCTCCTGTCTCGCATCCCTCGTCTCTTTCTTTTACTTGCCTTTCTCTTAGGGCATTGGTAATTATCGGTGAGGTCTTAGTGACTGCAAATGAAATTACCATTTAAGAGAGAGGGAGAAAGAGACATCCCCTTTGCCATAGGAGAGGGCTTAAGTGAGGCAGCTAGGGTTTCGGCTATTGATTTTTAAACTGCTACATCAGAGAGTGTAATGCTTTCATAATTTCAAATAAACTGTCTGGTTACGAAGTACTAATGAGAGAAAAAGTGAGAGCAAACTAAAAAGAATGAAAGGAATTATGGCGACTGAATTTTAAGTGTTGACACGCTTGTAGGGAAATTAAACTGATGCACTGGTCAAACTGAACTACCACTGTGTGAACTTCGGAAGCAAATGGTAGCTGAGGGTGCTAAATCTCTACTTCATGTGATAGTCATTCAGACAAATAGAGGATGTAGGATTGCTTTCTTAAAAAAAAAAAAAACAGTATTAAAAGAAAGAAAAATATTTTTTTTCTGGAAAAAGACACAAAAGAAACCCATATTGAATATGGAATATAAAAACCGGATTATCTTTTTCTTGCAAATGCAAACCACGCATCCATTAATAACTTTAAATGTCTGACGCATACAATAAACCTCTATTCAAAGAAAATGTACCGTGATGACAGCTTTCTTTTCTGGTGCCGTAAATAATCATTAAGTGGAATAGAGAAAGAAGGAAGAACTTTCATATGGCACTGCATGAATCCAAATTTCTCTCTCTCTCTATTTCCCCCTCTTCTCTGTTTTCACACTACAGGCCGTAGGCCATTGGAGGCAGCTTAGAAATCTCTTACATCTGGAAAAGCCAAAATTCGTGGGATTTGGCCTGACAGCCATGACAGTCATCGGGGCGGCCGACAACAACTGTCTCCTGTGTTAGCGGCAGCAGTACATATGTGTGTGTGAGTGTTGGATTCATCTTAAATCGAAAGAGTGGCTATATTTTTGCATAAACATGAATATTTCTGTGTAACAAGGAATCTTTTAGAGCTTTTTACTTATAGGATCTGAAATTGCTATTAAGAAATTATGGAAATTATTACTATTAAGAAATTATGGAAAATTTATTATTTTGTAGTCCTCCTAGCAACATAAATATGGAGGTTTAAAAAAATTCCTCTTTGCAAATACACCTTTTAAAAGAAAGTATAAAAAAATAGGAATGTTTAATGCTAATCTTATATTTGTATCTGTTTTGTTATTGTCTTTCCACTATTTGTGATTTATAAATAATTTTTCATTCTGCTTCTTCTTAGTTCAAAGCTTACCTTACTAACCCATTAATGAGAAAGATCCAATAAGTAAAATATAATATTTTTTATTTCACTTTTTTGCCTTTCCCGTGTTTTGAATAGTTCTTGATTCAGCTATATTATATATGATAATTGATGTAGTGATGAATGCCTTATTTGTGAACAGGATACATTTGCTGTACAGTTGTAAAAAATAAATAAAAAACACAATTTAGCATTTATGCTTCTACTCTAACACGTTAATTAGCAAGTATTGTTTATTTGTCTTTAACACAAAAAATAAAATAAACACTTAATAAATTCACTACTTCCTTGAATTATTGTGTCAAATCGATCAGACATCTAACTGAAAATAGATGGTGTATTGGGAATATTATTCTAGTATGTTTAAATATTTTATATCAACTTTACTTTACCTTAAGTTTAGAATTTATTTCACTTTGAACTATAGCGGTAGATTTAGAGTAAGGTGTGCTTCCTTCCTGTTTGATGACCTGGATGTATCCTGCCTTTTAATAGTCTAATACATGAAAGTGGAAATGAAACGAGTGGATTTGATACTTTAATTTTGCTTTGGACTTGGGAAGAACCTTATTAATTGTTAATTTCTACAGATTATTGAAGGATGAAACTCTACGCATCCTAATTCTTTATCTATTTTTATGCATTAGTTGGACATTCTTACTGAAACAAGTTATAGACTGATTTGCAGCACAGAAATCACTTGTGTTTCATAATGTGCCAGGGACTCACTACTTTGGCCCTAGATATTACACACATTGACTAGCTATCTCGTCCAGGTCCAAAATCCAACATTCCACATTCCAGATTCCAACAGCCCGCCTGCTAAGCTGGGCACCACATGAAGAGCCATTGTTAGAGCGAGAGGGTCATGTATCGCTCCCTCTTTCTGTCTGTCTCCAGCTCTGTCTTTCTTCTCTTCCTCCTTCTCTAGTATGTATTGCTGTCAGACTCCATTTGTGACTTTTGCTCTTTCTATCAGTCCATGTTTCACTCTGATGGTCCTCTGCTATTTAATGTCACCCGGTTTCCCCACTCTGTTTTCCCACCATCTTGCATGAGTTTGTATATTTCTTGCTTTACCTCCCTCGAGCCATTGTGTCCTAGTCCTGCTGTTTTTGTCTGTGGTTCTGCTCTCCACAAGACTCTCACTTTGCTTTCTGCTTCTTTTCCTTTGTGTCTGTCTTCTCCTGTATCCCGCTGTTTGTCTCTCCATCTCTCGCTCCCTCTGCGTCTCCAGATATTCATAGAGAGATTTTCTCACATGTTGGATATAGATTTATGACCCCAGCAAGATCCCCGTGGCCACTAAATTTGATACCATCCACTAAGCCACATTGTTTTTTTGTGTGTTCGGACTTGTCTGTTGTGTGCGACTGTGCGTAAGTATGTATGTGCATGTCTGGGTGAGTGTGTTCATGCATTACAAGGTGGAGGCGGGTGACTTTTAAAGGGTTATCTTGGGTATGGTGGGTGCAGAGGAGGAATTTACAGTTTATTGAAGCACAGCAGTCAGGTATGTGTGCTTGTGTTTGTGTGTGTGTTCGTGTTAGTAAAAACTGGTGTGTGTGTGTGTGTATGATAAAGAAAAAGAAGGAGAGGGAGAGAGTCCCTGTGGGTGCCAGGTGACCAGGCTAACCTCTTGGCTGGTGTTTTGGATTTAGCCTTTGGATAGCGAAGCAAAATAAAAATTGAATGCTTTTTCAATTACAGATCAGAGAGAGAGTGAACAAAGGCAGGAGTACAGGGAAAGAGTTATTGGGATCTAATATATCAGAGGCTTTGTGCCTCTAAAATCTAAGTGCATTAATTTTGACAGCCAGAACATTTTGTTCTTGAATATTTAAAGCTCACAAGAGTCCCATAATTTTATTCAATTTTTCTATGTAATTTCTCTTGTAAAAGCTTTCCATTTTAGAAAATTATTGCATGCTTTTTTATTGCTTGCCCAAATTACGCATTTTTATTGTTTCTTGTCTACACAGCAACTAATTATATGAATTGTAGATTTGACTTTGAAAAACTGAGCAGCACTGCCTTAAAACTCAGGGAAGGAAGCTGCAAAGATAGAAGACAACTAAAACAGATCAGGAAGTCACACAGAGACACACCTGTGGAAGACAGTCGCTTGCTATATTTTCCTATCAACTTAGTAATTCTGACAGTAAAGACATTCATACTTTCCCATGCATATTTTATTGGCTGTGGGTGGTATTTGTTGTGTATTTATGTCTTTTTTGTTTGACTACTCTATTCCTTCAACTTATTCCACAAGTTGTCGAGGGTGGGGTATTTCCAAATGGTATGATACAGTGCACAGGATTGTAATGTGCTTTTGTGTGAAGTGAAAAGAATTGCTACTTGCTTTTGATGTTTGGCGGAGAGGAATGGCACAAAATAAAAGCCTTGTAAAATAAAGGAATGTTTTTTGCAGGCTCGAAAGTGTGCGATCCCCTAAAATTGTTTATCTGTCAGTCAGGGGGCGTGTGCACGCGCTCTTGCAGCGCTGGAACATGTGTTCGAGTGCATGTGTGTGTGCGAGAGTGTGTGTCCACGCTTACATCTAAAAGCCGTATCTGGCTTCAGATCAAATGGTGTATGAAGTAGGGGAATGACAGAGAGAGAAAAGTGATAGCTCTTTAAAGTTACCTATCCACTCTCAAACTCAACTATAAGACCAGGAACATACGGAATAGGCAAGTGTGTTTTAGAAGAAAAGGAGTGACATGAAACACTTATGTCGAAAAGCTCTGAACATGACTTGGGCTTTGTAGCATGGGGGAAAGATGTCTGGCAAAACAGAAAGAAAGGAAGAGTAAATTGGATGGAGAGAAGAGTGAACATTGGGGCAAAGAATTAAACCGTAACATGCACTTTTAGTGTTTGTTTGGTTCCTAAGGTTACATTTATGTTTCGTATCGCATCTAGCTTTCATTTTATACTTTGTATAGCAGAAATTTTTGATGGCATTATGTCTGAGCAAGAGGTTATCAGAGCAGCTGATTTCTGTCAATAAACAACCACACTTTTAAGATGTTATACATCTAAATTATTATTGCGAGAACTGTTCTAATTGTCACAGCTTTAACATTATTGTTGAATGAATCTTTATTGTTTCTTTTTCTCCCACTTTCGTCTCTCTGCAGGTATGAAGAATGAACCGAAATGGATGAACACTTTCCATCTTTGTAAGATCTCGTTTTGATATGTTTTTCTTGTTAGACTTTAATTTTAAAGGATTGCCTGTTGTAATACTGATGAGTTCAGATCCAGTGGAGTAATAAAGGTATTTGTATTGTGACAGAATGCTGTCTCCTTCTTTATGTAGTGATGTGTGACATTTATGCACCCAATAAGCACAAAAGAAAGTTAATGTCTCTTCCACTGATGTTGTTCCATCCTTTCAATCTCTGTGTGTGAGTGTGTATCTGCCTTTAACCAAGGGTGTTCTGTTGAAAACCCAGTGGTTCCCTGGCTGTAGATTATGTATCTACACACTGCAACAACAACTAGAAATGCAAAAGAAACTGTTCAAAAATAAATAGGAAATGGTCCAATGTTGTTAGGCATTATGGACGCTTGTAGCTTGTATTAATTTTTCCCTTCTTCTCAATGATTTTTGTATTTTTTCCATTGTAAAACTCTTTTACACTTGTTAAACAGTTAGTCAGCTGGTGTTCAAAATGGAAAAAAATATAGAAAAAATTGCTGAACAGTCTAAGGTCGACAATAGTGTGCAGCTTTGCTAGGAGAAAAAAGCTCAGCAGTAAACACAGCATAAGGCCTCCAACATAAAGATAATGAGGAAGACAATTACAGCTAGAACAATTCCAGGATTTTATTTATATATTTATTTTTTTCAGGACAGACCGGAAGCAAAATGAAAAGCATTTGCAGTGTTGTCTGGATAAATGCATGGTGCTGGTGGTGGGGGTCACATGTATGAGCCACTAAAATGGTGAAATAGAGCTGAATGGGCAGGTGAGGGACTGTCTAGGTGACCAAGATTGGTAAACTGGCAGTCATTAGTTTTTAATTTATTGTAGTCATGACTTTAAATGAAATATTTAAAGTCATAAATAGAGTCACTGCATTTTGTAGTTGTTAAAAGTCATAACTATCTTTTTTAATCTTTTTTTATTTGATTTTTTTTAGACATTTTAATTTAACGTTTTTTACCAAAACATGCATAATGTCTGTAAACATAAAGCACAGCATCTCCTGGAACACTGTTGGTTTTTACACTATGTTTCATAACTATGATTTTTATTGCTACTTATATAATAAAATTGGATCAGGATAGATTCACCGTTTATAGGATTGGCTGAAAAAGACAGAATTTTAGTTTTTGAAAACATTGTTTAATAATATTTCCATCACATTTAAATGGTTGAAGGTTTTGTCTGTTTATTCATTTCTCAATAAAACAGCCAACAGTATGGAGAACTATATTTGTTCACACAAAAAAATAAATAAACAAATACATTTTTATGTTTGTCAAAGATTTAGCATAAATCTAGTATACCTGGTACCCATTGTTCTGCTCCCATATATATTCTGTGTTCTAAAAGATGCAACTGAGACCAGCTATTGTGTTAAAAAAACAGGTTTGTTGCTTCTTCAGTGATTTGACTTATGTATATGTGGGTGAGAATGCTTGAAGACTTCTATTGTGGGTTTAAAATATTTTTATTACTTGAAGGTTTTGAACAGACTAAAAGCAGGCAGGAGTGATACAGTGTGGGAGAGTGTGACTTGAAAAAGAAGATGAAGAAAGAGTATAGCTAGGCAGTGATCGTGTAATACCATCAAGCAAACCCATCACTCACTATCTGACCAACCTCGGTTTAAAGCACCAGAGCTCCAGGGGGGGGGGGGGCCGAAATAGCACCAATGGCACATTATTCCACCTTGGAAAAATCACCCTCATGTTTTTATTCATGCCTGCAACACAAACAGCAACAGAATTTGATTTTCACAGCAAATATTAACGACCAGTGCAGAGGCCGAATAAATTATTTGTGAATATGTCCTGGTGAGGCTCGATAGAAAGACAAGTTTACAAACTCTAGGAATTTGCCACAGGAAGATAATTTCTGGTTCTTGTGTACCAAAATCGGAAAAAAATAACCATGATGTGTAAATGACTCCTAATGAGAACCCCTGATCCTACAGCATTTCTATAACCCAGACTTGCTCTAATCACTACCTATTCCTGCTGGGTCTGTGTCACATCCTGCTGAGCTCAGCCACAGTAACAAGGAGGAGGCACATGTACACTATATTGCCAAAAGTATTTGCTCACCTGCCTTGACTCACATATGAGCTTAAGTGACATCCCGTTCCTAATCCATAGGGTTCAATATGACGTCGGTCCACCCTTTGCAGCTAGAACAGCTTCAACTCTTCTGGGAAGGCTGTCCACAAGGTTTAGGAGTGTGTTTATGGGAATTTTTGACCATTCTTCCACAAGCGCATTTGTGAGGTCGCACACTGATGTTGGACGAGAAGGCCTGGCTCTCAGTCTCCGCTCTAATTCATCCCAAAGGTGTTCTATCGGGTTGAGGTCAGGACTCTGTGCAGGCCAGTCAAGTTCATCCACACCAGACTCTGTCATCCATGTCTTTATGGACCTTGCTTTGTGCACTGGTGCACAGTCATGTTGGAAGAGGAAGGGGCCAGCTCCAAACTGTTCCCACAAAGTTGGGAGCATGGAATTGTCCAAAATGTCTTGGTATGCTGAAGCATTCAGAGTTCCTTTCACTGGAACTAAGGGGCCAAGCCCAGCTCCTGAAAAACAACCTCACACCATAATCCCCCCTCCACCAAACTTTACACTTGGCACAATGCAGTCAGACAAGTACCGTTCTCCTGGCAACCGCCAAACCCAGACCCGTCCATCAGATTGCCAGATGGAGAAGCGCGATTCGTCACTCCAGAGAACGCGTCTCCACTGCTCTAGAGTCCAGTGGCGGCGTGCTTTACACCACCGCATCCGACGCTTTGCATTGCACTTGGTGATGTATGGCTTGGATGCAGCTGCTCGACCATGGAAACCCATTCCATGAAGCTCTCTGCGCACTGTTCTTGAGCTAATCTGAAGGCCACATGAAGTTTGGAGGTCTGTAGTGATTGACTCTGCAGAAAGTTGGCGACCTCTTCGCACTATGCGCGTCAGCATCCGCTGACCCCGCTCCGTCAGTTTACGTGGCCTACCACTTCGTGGCTGAGTTGCTGTCGTTCCCAAACACTTCCATTTTCTTATAATACAGCTGACAGTTGACTGTGGAATATTTAGGAGCGAGGAAATTTCACGACTGGATTTGTTGCACAGGTGGCATCCTATCACAGTTCCACGCTGGAATTCACTGAGCTCCTGAGAGCGACCCATTCTTTCACAAATGTTTGTAAAAACAGTCTGCATGCCTAGGTGCTTGAATTTATACACCTGTGGCCATGGAAGTGATTGGAACACCTGATTCCAATAATTTGGATGGGTGAGCAAATACTTTTGGCAATATAGTGTATCTCCCACCGGTTACATGGTTAAGGTCTCCCTAGTCTCAGAGGCCCTCACAGTGACAGTGACCTGATAGGGACATATTATGGTTAGACAGGCCTCTAAAGATTAGCAGCTGACAACTCTGGAAACAAAAAAAACAATAAAAAATAAATAAATAAATAAATAAGTAAACAGAAAATGTTAGGCTAGGGATTTATCAACAGAAAACAAGTTAAACAAAAACATCTAATAATATATTGACAAAACAGTCTATACCAGCTTCACAATTTATCCTTAAAATATATTGGCTAAAAGATTGCTTATCTAAAGCTGCCACACAAAAAATAGTTGAAACTGAATGCATTTATTCATCACTTAGCCATTAGTAAGTTAAGCTCTAATAGCTGTTACTGATTTTTCAATTCAGTTTATTTATATAGCGCCATTTAACAACATGTAATTTCAAGGCACTTTATAGAGACAATTCAACCTGATTATACAGTCAGATTAATTCAGATTAGTTTTCGATCTAAGGAAAAGCAGTTGAAAGCATCGACTAATTGACTCAAAAGCAATCCCTCACAACAAGCATGCTTATAGCGACAGTGGAGAGGAAAAACTCCCTTTAACAAGAAGAAACCTCCAGCAGAACCAGGCTCAGTGTGAGCTGCCATCTGCCGAGGCTGACTGGGGTTCAAGGAGACACATAAATGATAGATCCCCCCCCGAAGTTGTATGAAAGCAGTTTTAATCCAAAATGTCCTGGTGTTGACTAGAAAGCTGAAGATACTGTAAAGAGAGTTTGTAAGCTAGATTGGATAAAGATTATCAGGTGTTTTGGTAACAAACTCCAATCCACGAAGAATAAAAGCAGAAATTATATCAAAACAAAATGTAACAATCTACAAGTAATATAAAGCAATGCTATTTCAAAAACGTAGGTTTCCGCAAACTGGTAAATAGTTGTTTTTTTCTCACAAAAACTGCACACCAGTGGAGAGGTTTAGAATTGAAATACTTACAGTACAAATAATCAATAATTCTCATATTCAGCAAAAGACTGAACAAATGAAAGAAAATTCTTTTGAGATTTCAGTCATTCAGTTATGCTTTTTTGTACAGTCTTCAGACTTCAATTAATAACACACACAAAAGGGCAAAACCCCTTTGCAATCAGGTGCCCCTTACATGGAACCAGCTCTAAGGTCTTATCAGATTTTAAAGGTAACCTTGAGATTTGTGCCCTACAGGCCAAAGTGTTTAAATATTGCATTTAGAATAACTGAATACCTGTATTGAGAGTTATATTTACCACAGTTGTGATTCCTATAGCGTTTGAAACCTATAATCAGAATGTAAGCTGAATCCCTGAGAGTGTGGGCTGCTTTCAAGAAATCATTTTCCACATAACCGAAAAGGCGATTGCCTTTTTCTATCAGTCTACTATGGTTATTTGTTGCCTTTAGGTTGACAGAAGGGATGAAAAGGTCTACTCATACTATAACACAATGCAAAGAATGCAGGAAGAAACAGAATATTGAAGTTTGATTCAAAAAAGATCTGGCATACAACTCAAAGGCTTTTTAGGGACCTTACTTCATCCTTGAAGTAAACATATCTGTAAAGCTGCTGCATTCAAATAAGCACATTTTAACTAAAGGCTGTCATTTTCGTCCTGACGTTCTTGCAAAATGACTCAACCAGAATGAGTATTTCATCTATGTCTCAAAGGGAAAAAAGCGAAGTAAACTTATGCAATACTTATCGGCTTTATGATACTGCAAAAGAAAATATTGAAT